CTTGTCATGATGTTTTACTATTTTTGGCTCTTTTATTTCTTATTTTTTCCCTCTTTCCCTTTAGTTTCTTACCTTGCCTGGTGGCTTCCCTCTGTTGGGCCTCATGGAGTTGTGACCTTCATTGTCTTTTTCTAGGATATTGCTTATAATTGCTGGTTGTTTTGTTTTGGGGGAGTTTTTTGGTACTGGGGATCAAACTCAGGACCTTGCACTTGCGAAGCAGGTGGCAGAACCACTGAGCTAAATCCCCGGCCCTATTGCTTATAATTGTTTGGAGTGCTGGTTTGCTGTTCGTGAAATTTCCCAGGTGTTCTTTTTCATGGAAGTATCTAATTTCCCCATCGATTTTGAAAGATAATTTTGCAGGGTACAACAGTCTAAGTTGGAAGTTATTTTCTTTTAGGGCTTGAAATACTTCACTCCAGTCTCTCCTTGAGTTGAAGGTTTGTGTTGAGAAACCTGCCGTGATTCTGATGAGCTTTCCTTTATAGGTGATTTGTCTCTTTTCTCTAACTGCCTGTAGGATTTTGTTCTTCTGTTGAGTTTCTGGGATTTTGACTATTATATGTCTAGGTGTAGATTTTTTTTGATCATGGCTAGTTGGAGTTCTATATGCCTTACTTAGCTGTATGTCCAATTCTCCACCTCTGTCTGGGAAGTTTTCTACTATTACTTCTATGAGCAGTTTTTTTTATGTCAATTGTGCTTTCTCCTGTTTTTTTGCGGACTCCTCTCAGTCTTATGCTATTCTTCTTTGCATCATCTAGCAGCTGCTGGATTGATTTCTCATGGTCCCTTACTACTTTTAAGAAATCTCTATTTTCATGGTCCTTAACCACAATCCTGTCTTCTATATCTGATATTCTATCTTCAGATTCTCTTAATCTGCTCTGCATGCTTTCAGTGGAGTTTTTCATCTCCTGAATATTTGTTTGAATCTGTTTCATGGATTCCATTTCTTTCTTATACCAGGCCTTCATGGCTTCCAGCATGTTTCTGAGCTCATCTATTTTTTATCTGTTTCTGTTCTAGAGCCCCTAATCATGTCTTTCACTATGTTCACCATCTCTGTAGTTATCTCAGAGTTTATTTCTGCTTTGAATTTTTCTAGAGCCTCATTCATCTTTATTGTTACTTCCTGTGCTATCAGTTCAGGGTGTCCAGGTAGTTTATTATCAGACTTTTCCACCTCATTTCCCCCAGCATTTGCCTTTTGTTAGGTGGAAGTCTGAGTTTGTGCCTTGCTTAAATGTCTTCTCATTTTTCTTTTTAGTACTGGCCTTGGTCTAGTTCCTGGGTTGATACTTTAAAGTTGCTTATTGGAAGTATCTTTGTTGATGTATTTAGAACCCTTATGGAATGATTGCTTCTCAGAGGTGTCTTCCAGATATAGCTGGTCTTTAGGTTTTGAGTCTCTAATGGCTCTGAGGCTATCTCATTTTCATTATGCCAGGAAGGACAACTGATTAGATCAATCACAACACCTTAGCCCAAGTGATACAACCAGCAACACAATGGCATCAAGTACCTCTTAGAAAATGACAATTTGTGGTAGTTATTAACCTATCACCTTAAACTATGTGAATTAATTCACAATCAGGGACCAACCCAACATATGTTTATAGTGAATAAACTCTTCAATATAGCAACTTTATCCTTTGGGATGGGGAGTTAGAAGGAGCTGTGGAGAGAGGAATAGGTAGGTAGAAGGATAGGGGAAAGTTAGCAGTGAGGCCAGAGGGCACAGGTGAGAGAAAGAAAGAGAAAAAAAGAAAAATAAAGAAGAAACATGAATTAGGGCCAGAACAGGAACACAAAGAGAGATGTAGAACAATTTTGGACAGCAAGGGAGTGAGGGAGAGAGAAAGAGAGAGAGAAAGAAAAGAGAAAAGAAAGAAAAAATAAAAATAAAAATTTTTAAAGAGTAGAAAAAGAAAAAAATCAAAAATAAGAGCAAAAAAATAGTGGTAATTTTGAAAATAACAAAAGATAAAAATGAAGGGCCTCCTTCAGGGTATGTCTCTGCTGTCACAATAGACAATGTAGGCAGCAGTATGCAGTTATAAGTCAATGAGTCTCAGTAAGCCAGTCACAGACCCGTGAGATTCAGGCAGATTTCTGGCTGCAAGTCCCAAGTTGAACTCCCTGTCCTCCTGCAGGGTTGAACTCTGCAAGGTTCTATTGCAGGTTCCAGCTGCCTTTCCCCTGAAGATAGTACAGGTTCCAATGGAAGGTGATGATCCCTCCAACTTACCAAGTATGGTGGTCTGGTGTGCCTTTATTGCAGAGATTCTCTTCACTTTTCCAGTGGGCTTCAGTTTTCATCAGGGAGCCTAAGAGAAGCTCTCTCTCTCTCTCTCTCT